TGGTAGGTAGGTATTTTGACACACCTATCATGCCAAAAGGAGGAGTTTGTGCTTCAATTTAAAGATAACAGGAAACTGTTGAAGAGGGATGATATGTTTGAAGTCATGTTTAGGGTGGAACGAAGGAACAGGAACTTATTGGGCACCAGATACGTTGCTAGACACAGTACTGCAAGGTCCATTTCATTATTCCTATTTTACATATTGGAAAACTGAGCCACAGAGACATCAAAAAATACACCCAGGGATATTCAGCCAAAAATTCTGGAGCCAGGACTCAAATCTAAAACTCTCTAGCTTTAAATCTTTCCATTACTCCATGAGACCTTTGTAATTAATATGACAAGTGTGTGCTGAGTTTTTTAGAATAGAGAGACAAAAGTCTGTGAAATCACAAAGGAAGTTCTTTCAAGATGTAGCAGACTCCTAGGGAGATGTGAAGTAAGCCAAAAGTGTTTCCTTTTTTTTTGCAACATATTTTTAGGACCCATGAGCTTGATTCTTCTGTTTTCTAAATGTTGCTGAATGTTCTTATGGATTTATTTGTATTTCGGAATTAGTAAAAGGAATTAAATTTTCCTTAATAATCATGTAAAAATTCAAAACATTCCTAACCGTACATTCCTAAAATGTAGCTAGTTTAACTTTCATGGTGTTATATAGTATGTGACTCAGCCAAACATGAGAAGATTCATAGAATGTGAGCACTTTAGGGGGCCTCTAGAATGACTCATACCCTTGAACAGGTGTTAGAAAGACAAGCCATAAATAAGAAATCTACTCTATCAGTCCCCATATGCATTTCTTCTGTCTTTGCATATGAAAAAGGTATTTGCTGAACAAAATGATTCCTCTTTGTTAGGTTCAGTACCCCTTAGTTCTTAGGTGATTCTGTTGGTGATAGAGCTGAGAACCTTAAATAATTCCATGTCTCTGTGGCTATTAATATTAAATTACTTTCTGGTAAGACGGATATGCTAGCCATGGGCAGTAATTTGTATCTGGTGTTCTTCTCCAAGTCTCCTGACCTATTAGCCAAGCTTTGAAGCATCAGTGCCTCTGGAATCAGGTATTTCATGTCATGACACTCCTTTGCTTTCTAGAAGACCCAATATTTTGTACTAAGCATCTGTCCTGATCCCTTGTCTGAGGATTAAACCAGCTGTTTGAACCTCGCTGCCCAGCACTTCAGTTGCCATTCTTCTTTGATGCCAGACCTTTGTTTCATTACAGATATATATTACCTGTGAATTGACCTCCCAGTTCACAGCTACCTGCCTGGCTTTCTCAGCATTGCTCAGCCCAGAATCTGTCACTGTGCTCTCGTACTTAAAGCTCCAATATTCACTGAAATATGATTGAGATTCTATCTTTCACTCAGCTACTATCTATTCATCCAGGTGTCGCTCCTTGGTATCTCTCTTTTACTAGAGGGTAGGTTAGATTCCGTCATGCATCCTTTCTCCTCTTCACTACCCCAGTGCTACTTGGACAGACATGATCCAGAGTTGACAAAATCAAACAGATAGGAATGTTTTGGTAATAGGTGATAGAAACGAATCCGGAAAAGCAGCTGAATTATAAAATAAGTAAATGACTATTCTCCTTTGAGGGTAGGGAGAACACAACAGCAGGAACTTCACCATCTAGTGCATTTTGGGAATCCGTACAGATATGTAGATTGTTCACATAAGGGAATTCTGGTTAAAGGTTAGGGGCCCCAGGCAGGTATTGGAATCCTTTGGTGTCTCATACCAAAATCGTAACCTATAGAAGATTGGTTGGGTAAGTCAAGTCCTCAGCCTTTGAGAGAGTGGGCCCAAGAGAGGTTGTTGGGACAGGAATAGAAGAATAAGATAATGTTCCAGTTTCTGAACTAGATTATGAAGTGGGGATGGGATCATGAATAAACTTTAGATATCAGGATATTAAAAATGGGATTGAGAATTGAAAAAGGAGTAAATTGGGTTAATAGTGATCCATCTAAATATGAATTAATGCTTCTTAAATTGTCCCAGACCAAGATATCATTGAGACACAGATATTTTGGTCTTAATTTATTAATTTATTCCTCATAGCCTCCCAACTAAGAATATGCTAATATAAACTGGCCAAGAAAGCACTAAAAAATGACATGAATAATTTTAAGGACTGTTGCCTTCTCTGGAACATTTATAAGTGATTACTGAATGTGTTTTTTTACTCCTATGGAACCCTGAAATGAAAAGCCTATCTTTAGGCAGTATCTCTAACATTCTGTGGAAGGCCTAGGTATAAGAAAGCGAATTTTCTTCTCCTCCTTCCATTTTATCATGGGGCTCAGATATGGTTAAAATAAACATAGTCTTTGGGATATGTTATTCTAGAGTTTGTGCATCTAGATATGTGTATGTCTGTATAGGTATCTACAGAAGGGTCTGCATCTATAAATGTGAAGAAGTAAAAGGTGTTCTGCTAAGTTAGAATAATGCCTTAATCATTGACAAAGAAGGATTCAGGAATAAAAAATCAGCTTCATATCTCTCTTTAATATAGGAACTGGTCTCTAAAGTAGTTTACATTTCTGCCAAGGTAAATGTCAAAGCAATTACTCTAATTTGTTGTAATTTAGGAATAGCTCTGATAATTTGAATCACAATATTTATTATGATTTTATTACTCCATCTTTTAATAAATTTGAGTGCTATGCAAAAGTGAAAATGTATGTTTTCTTCCCCAGAGCAGCCTACAATCCAGCAGGAGACAAGGCATAACAAATTAACTCTGATCATAGATAGTGTGGAAAGTGCTAGCAAAATATATACTGAAAAAGAAATGTATAGGACACTGTACAGGCTTCAAACATGCTATAGCATACCACACACCCCAAACAATCTCAACAGCAAAAAGAGAAACAACCAAATTAAAAACTAGCCAAAAGAATAGACATCTCTTCAAAGAAGATACAGAAATGGCCAATAAGCATTTGAAAAAATGTTCAGTAGCATTAGTCATTAGCAAATACCTAATGAAATACAAATAGAAAGCATTTCATGTCCATTAAGATGGCCATAATAAAAGAAAAACTAGAAAATAATAAGAGTGGCAAAGATGTAGAGAAATTGGAATTCACATACATTGCTGGAAGGAACGTGAAATAGTATATAGCCCTGTGAAAAACTGTTTGACACTTCCTCAAAATGTTAAATGTAGGTTTTCATATGATTTAGCAGTTCTCCACTTAAATGTTTACCCACGAGCATCAAAACATATATTTGCACAAAATTATGTATACTTGAATGTTCATAGCAGTATTATTCATAATAACCAAAACATGGAAATAACTCAAATGTACATGAGCTGATGAGTGGATAAACAAAAGTGGTATATCCATAAAATGAAATATATTTTTGCTACAAAAGGGAATGAAGTACTAATACATGCTATAACACCTATGGGCCTTGAAGTGAAAGAAGCCGAACAAAGACAAGAAATTATATGATTCCAGTTGTATGGAATGCCCAGAATATGGGAGTTCTTTTTGGGGTGATGGAAATACTCTGGAATTATATAGTGGTGATATTTGGACAGCAATGTGCATATACTAAAAAAACCCACTGAATCGTATACTTTAAAATGGTTAAATTAATGAATCTATGTTATGTGAATTTTAATGCAATAAAAACAGTCACACCTAACAAAAACTGCAGAATTTGCAACATAAACAAAATTGTATACTCCAAATGAAAGTATAATTTATAAAATATAGGCATGATGCATTGGAGGGACATCTACGAGTTAATTTCCTAACTGATTTGTAAATTAGTATTTTTGGAGCTGGGAAATATTGGGGAAAGGCAGGGAGGATTATATTCATATGTTAGGAAATAATATCCATGCCCCGTTGCCTAATGGAAAACTAAGAATCTTCTGCTTATTTCCCAGTTTCAGTCTTGTTTTATCACTGTTATTCAAACTTGATTGAATATTTAGATGACTCATCAATATTTATGAGTTATTTTTCTCTAACTTAAATATGTTGTAAGTCTGAGATTGCCTAATCAAATTATATTTTGATAACTATGAGAGTATTGTTTTAGTAGATTGAATGCATATATTTGTATTCTATTTACATATATTTTTCTAATACTATTTATGTTCTTTCATGACATTGTTTCCCATATTAACTAAGAATTCTTTTGTCACAGTCTTGATATGATAAATGTCCTAAAAATATTTCAAAATTGAAAGAGCAATTTAAAAATCTTTTGGTAATATATCTAAACTTTTTTTGGGGGGGGATTTGGAGACTTAAATGGCTTTATTAAGCACTTCATGAATTGGGCAGCATCCCATATAGCAAGTAGAGATGCTTCCTAAACCTTGTTTCTTTTTGTTTCCCCCTAAACTTTGTTTCTTAATTGAATTAAGATAAACTTTAGTTTTTTTGTGTATATTTAGAAAATTCTAAAAATATCTGCAGAACACTAAAATCTGTACCTTGCCTCTGACTGGGTTCAACATTGAGGCTTAGCTATACATTTTACTGTTCTTATTTGTCCATAGGGTTATTATTGGTTAATGGAGTAAAATATGAAAAATGCGCTGCATTAGTTGTGTAGTTCAACAAGGGATGCCTATGTTTTCTTTTTAAACAAAGCTTAGTTCATTCATTTAGATGTTATGCTATTAAAACAACGGGAGAAGATACTACCTATTTATATATTTGCTCTTAATTGATACATAGGTATGATACATAGGTAAATGGCCTTGCCTAATGGTATTTTCTAATACATAGGCAATACACTTGGACAAAACATACTTTTTTCTTTTCCTTTCTTTTTTTGTGTGATTGCTTTTTTCAATCAAATGGCCTTTCAAAAATGATAACATTTTACATATGCATTTTAAAATTTAATATCTTTGGTGATTATATTTTAATAGGTCTTTGTTTCCGAATTGGGTTATTTTACCACAGTAGGCATATATAAACAGTTTGTGTGTTCTCTATTTCTTTATAGATTCTACAAAGAAATTAAAGGATGTTCTTGAAGAATTCCATGGTAACGGTGTGCTTGCAAAGTATAATCCTGAAGGGGTAAAACTTTTTTTTCTTTATATTGGTTTCATATATACACTTGGAGGAGGGATTTCTTAATGAGAAGTCCTTGGAAATACATATACCATAAACAAAATGAAATTCATAGTGAAATGCTCTTCTGGAAAACACATAAAATAGTGTACTACCTTTTTCATTCAAAAACCATTTGCTAATGAAAATAATATTTCTGTATTGTGTGCTTGAAAGAGTATAGGTCATCTGTAATATAACCGTTGGTTCTTTTCCTAGACGTTAAATATATTGTAATTCTGAGATTGCATGGTCAGGTATGATCAGGAAACAGGATGGATGGAAGGGAAGACCAAGTTGTCTGCTGCTCACTCTGTGACCTACAAATTTTAACCCCAAATGAACACTGGTGGGGGGGGCAGGAGGGTTACTCCTTTTAGAGAATTATTCCCCTGACTATGGGAAGATTCTGTGATGCATATAACTGGTCTGTAATTTTAAAAAGCCAGCTTAGATAAAAAATGAGGAACTTCTTCCCCCTATCTTTTTTAACCTACAACCAGTGAGCCAACAAGTCCCTGAAATTCCTTCCGTATAAAAACTTCTTGTCTTGTTGATGGCTTTTGAACCCTTGGCTTGAATGAGTGTCCATCATTTCCTAATTATTTGTTAAATAACCTTCCTTTTAATGTTAGCTGAGAGATGTTATGTTTTAAATGTATGAGCATATTAGCTGTGAGTTCTTCTGCAGTTTCACCAAGTGATGGTTTCGTTGTATGGGAATTAAAACAAATGACCCTTTGCAAAAGAAACATTCCCTTGGATGGATTATCTAGTCAGCTAGAGAGATTTGTTTGCTGATTAAAATGTGATTTGTTTTTTGTTATCGTTGTCATTCTGATTTGGTTATTTATAAGAGCACAGTTCTTGGTTATCCTTCAATATTATATTTCTTTGGGATTTATAGAATTTACACTTTAGTGAAAACCAAATCTCCAATTCTAACCTTAAAACATCCATATTGTTTTATAATTTCCTTCCAGTATTTCTAATAGCTACTTTTCATGCTGTATTTTCTTATTCTGTCTATATTCTGATATATTAATGTACCTTGTAAAAGTCTTTAACCTAAGATTTATTTTCTTTTTCAAGGAAAGTTAGTATTTAGAGCCTACAAATAATGGGGAAAATAAAGCAATTTAAAGCCATTCCCATTTTCCTATATCAGGAACAAAAGCAGATATCCAGCCTACATTTCCCTCATATTTAATTTTCCTAGATACCACAGTGTGAAAGAAAAAAATTTGCCAGATAAATTTGTAGAACCGAAAATCTCAAAGACCAGGAAAGCAGAGTGGGAAAGCTAAAGATGACAACTCTGTGGAATTGCTATAAGACCCAAAAATGTCATTAATATTTACATTCCAAACCAATACTTGAAAACGTGCATGTTTTCTAATCTATCTACAGGGATAAAACCAGTTTTTTTTTTCTCCCTGAGGATAGCTGCTAGCTATAAATTCAGTTGGAATGTGATCTTGTTTGCAAAGTAGCCTTTTTGCTTCAATGATTTCTTATTTAAAAGACTCTCAAGACTTGGTCTTACTGATATTATATATTTCATGAGGATTATCAGTCACTGTATATTGGATTTATTGAGGTAATTACTAGATTCATTCGTAGACACACATATGATGTCAGCCTTTTCAATAATGTAATAACTCTCCATAAATGCACAGATCTGCTCTTGAAATGCATTATTAAAATAATGAACAGTTGAAAAACAAAAAAGTCAGATCTCATCATGACCCCACACTAATTCTAATTTAAGAGTGAAACCACTCTCTAATTTAACAGATAGGTCTTTTCCCTCTAGGAGGAAAAAAAAAAAAACCCAAAAAGCAATGAAAGCTTATATGACTCTTAAACACTAGTATGTATTTTACAAAAGCTGATAGGAAGTAATTAGGGATATTCAGTGTTGAGAAAGAAATCTTTAATGCCTTGAGGTTCTCTTCAGTACATGACTTCAGTTTATAAAAGGTTACTCTAACAGTATGACAGAATTCATACTGTCCATTCACATGGGAAATTATCACTCTCTATTGACTGGTCAGGTTAATCCTAAATTTGTTGGCAGAGGTGACTACTCAATTGATGTCATTTTATGCACTACTTTTAGAATAAATAATCCTTTGTTTTCTAAAATAAATATTGCATGTATCATCCATATAAACGTACTTGCAAAGAAACAAAGAAAGAACAGGCCAAATATCTCCTCTTACAAAGTAAACCTCCTTAAACCTTAGGTGCATTGTATTTCTTATCATTTACTTGAATTACTGCTTTCTAAAAGGTTTCTGTGTAAAAACTTAATACAATGAATATGTGACCTGTGGTCTATTTTAAAGGAGAAGAAATATTAAGTGCGTTGTACAGATGAGTCATTTATTTTTAATTTGTATTTTTTAAAGATCATTTAAAAATCTTTCTTTGAAAAAAAGAATCAAAAAATATAAATCTAAACAGTGGCTTTAAAGATTCACCAAGAATAAAAACTTTAAGAAGGTCTGGAGATTCCCAAACAGAAGATTATAAAGATTATAGATTATAAAGTTTATAAGATTATAAAGTTTTTAAATGAAGAAAGTCACTGTAGGAAAAGTAAAATGACTTTTCCAAGATTAACCAGCTAGTTTCATGACACGAGCCATAATTAAAACCTAATTGTCTGGAATCCCAGTTTAAGAATAATGCCCTTTTCTCTTCACTTCATTGACTGGGCCATGGAATGAAAGGCAAGGCGTGGGAGATGAGAGTAAAGGGAAGAGAGAGGTATTTCACATACATTGAATGGCATTTCTTATGTAATGAGTATGGCATTTTCCAGTGCATGTAATTACTAACTCATGTCCAGCAAGGTAAGAGATTCTTCCTCATCTCCAGCTAATCTTATATGAATGATACAATATTAAGAGTATGATTATAACTAGTTTGTAGTAGCCATCCAGTCTTGGTGAGATGGTTCACAGTAAAATATAGTCAGGAAATCTCAGATATAAATGATTCATAAAGTAATTAAATTTGATCATATGAGAAAGAACCAGTTTGACATTGCATTTTATATATGTAAAATATGTATAGTATATTATAGTATAAGTAAATATATATGTTAATGTGATAATATTAATTATTTAATAATAATATTAATACAGAAATATATTAATATAATATAATAATTTATATATATATATATATATTTCCCCCTGGATTTCAAATTCAATTCTAAATTGTTCCATTGATATCTAAAGACATGGAAAGAAATTAAGTAGTGGTATAAGTATGGGAAGATCTTTATCTTTAAAGGCATAGTAATGGGCCACGCATGTTGTTCTCAAAGATGGAAGCATTAGGAGTGGGAAATAAAGATTAATAATCTAATATAGATTCATATATACTGTTGTGTTTTCATAGTCTTCTCTGGAAGGTTTTAATTATCTTATATGTGTTATTCATTATATTTATCTCCTATTAGAACTGTGTGCTTATTACACTCCCAGATTGATCTAGTAAATCATTCTCAAGTTTTAGCTTGTATCAGAATTACCTGGGGGTCTCCTTAAAACACAGATTGCTGCCTGCTCTCCTGCCCTGTCCTTAGTTTCTGTATTTCTAGGGTGAGGCTCAAAAATGTATATTTCTATCAGTTTCACAGTTGATGATAATGATACTGTTTCAGGACCACATTCTGAGATCCATGGGTCTGGGGTATGTTTTAAAATCATTCTGTAAAATTGACCTTTTAATTAAGTTATCAGCAGTATGAGATAATGAGTATAAATTATCTTACATTAACACCTGTATTCTTTCTTTCCTTGCATTCACAGAAACAAGACATTCTTAACCAAGTAAGACATTTTCTTTTCTATTAAAATCTGTCTTTTCTTTCTTTATTCTGATGTGAGCTATGAATTTCTCATCCATATCACTGACCTGTACTTCTGCACCATTAAGATTTGTGTAATATGCAAGGCTATATGTAATCCTTATAAAGTTATAACTGACTGATATTTGTTCAAATCAAAGTCTCAAATGGAGAAGTTAATACCTTAATGTAATCAAAGAGGGTCTAGAGGGTGGGCTATAGTTTTGTAGACCCTTGAATTTAATTTTCTAATTTCACCAAAACATGATCAGACTCCAGTAAAATAATTCATTTAATGAAAGTCTTAATTTATTAATTTACAATAGGAGGTTTATAATTGCATGTAGATGCAATTGAAAGGGATTTCTTTGTGGGGAGGATTAGGCATATCTAGTGCTATTAGAATCTGTGAGGGAACTAGAACTGAAAAGCCATTGATCTTTGCCTTTCTGAGAAAAAGAATAACCCAACTGTTGCTTCAGTCACTCTCAGCCCAGTTTCTAAAGCAAGTTTAGAAACTTCAGCCCAGTTTCTAAAGCAAGTTTTGGGTCCATAGTTCAGCAGGGTGCATAGAATTACAACACATTTTGGGCATCTCTGAATGGATTTTTCTATCATACTAGGAATATGTCTTATCAAAATGCATGAGATACTTAAAACCATAATAATGTCTCCCCAGGACAGTAATGGGTATGTACTAGCTTTTTATTCACAAGTGTCCCTATGGCTTCAATGACAGCAAACACTGTGATCTCGTACTCAACATGTTACAGTACAGTGGGTTACACCAGAATGATCTTGATTGGCTTAGATACAGCTCCTACATATTATAGTGTCCTAGGATGAGGCAAGGCTGAAGTGGCAACCCATTGACTGTTAGGACTTTTACTAGTCTCTTTCAGAGGATGACACTTCCTTGATCTTACCCCGACCTCTGTGGAAACCTACCAAATCCCCCAAAGACAGACTACGTGGGCTTTATGGTTTTAGGAGACAACTCTTCAGAGTAAAATGGCTGCTTCAATGCAGGAGGATTTAGCTATTAAAAGATATTTATTGAACACCTTGGTCAACAAACACTCCTTTCTGCACAACCTGCATTCCTACTAGAGGCTGTCTGAAAACTGGTGTCAATATTAGCCCTGCCTTTTCTCGGGGTCAGCAGAATGAGTTTCTTCCTTTACCTTGCTCAGTCTCTGTTCCATATGGAGATGTTTAGTAGGCAAGCAATTTCAGCTGCAGAATAGAAGGAACAGGGAAAGCTGAGGTCAGCCAAAGTGGGGGTTGGGGGGAGAAGGGCGTGTGTATTTATTGCTCTATGGTGTTCTTGGTCTATCAGTGTTCTGTGAGTGTAGGATTTTCTCTTTACATTTCCTGTTAGTAGATGATCCTTGGCCCAAGGCTGAATTAATTTCATAGTTCCCTGGGCTTCCCTTATCTTTGTACTTGGTACTCTGCACTGTAGATTCTGCTAATGTGTATAACCTTTACATTTAGACAACTGAGTTGCTTCCTTCCCTTAATAAGAAACCTGGGAATTCATAACCTACGTTTGGTAGTGCTGCTGCCTAATGTAATATTTTAAGTGTCTTTAACAAGGATATTGACACTGATATAATTATTAGCAAAGATATAAACACCACTTTATTGTAAGCTTTAACTGTCCTCCCAGAACCAAATTCAACCTTTCCCATGAAAGGAAGCATCTGGAAAGTGTAACAGAGAAAACGTGGTTTTAGGAGTCCAACTGAACTGAGTTCAAATCCCACATCTGCCATATATTAGCAGGTTTTGGACAAGTTACTAGCCTCAGTTTGTTCAGCTATCCAGTAAGAAGAGTATTGGCCTTACTGAGTTGTTCAAAGGGTTACATTCTAAAGTGTATATGAAATAATTAGCTCTGTGCCTGATATATAGGTGTTCCATTGATGTTTAAAGGCAGTGGCTGTTGGTCACACTTTAGTGATTTCATACAAAAGTTCTAGAATACACATGAAAAGTGAAAGTGGGAATATCTGAGATACACCACCAACCAATCCTGTCACCTTTATTTTCCGAGCCTCACTTTTCTCAACTATAAAGTAAGAAAAAAGAACTCTGATGTGTCTTTCCAACTCTAAAGTGATTTTCTTCTACCATGAGGTATGAGTGGAGGACCTGAGATGTGATTCGTTTCCCCTGCCGAGCCTGGCCACAAGCCAGAAGGCTGTCCTGGGCCTAGACCTACTGTGTGTGCTGTATCTGTTCCTCTCCCACGACTGCTTAAGTGCTGGGCCAGTTAGTTAGCAAGGAATGGAAGTAACATGGTACCTGGTATTTCTGCTTCTCTGCCCTCTGACTCCTAATCCAAATTCAGTCCTTTTCCTCTTCTTATCAAACCTACAACCAGAGCAGTTTTGAAGACAGACCACCAAACTGAATAATAAAACGCCTTCTCTAATTCTGTATTAATGACCTCATATTGACTATGTACTAATTATTGTTGAAATATATAGTAACCTTCTTTTCAAGATGTGACCTCAGTTAGAATGGAACCATGTAAAAACAGTTTGAGAAGATATTTACTTACTTATGAGCTTAATTAGCTACGTCTTATCATAATTAAACACATCAATTTGAATAGCATCTTACAGGTTTCCTGTAACTGCACTGAGGATCCAATCTTGATGTTGCCAAAAAATATACTATCTTGTATCTATGACAACATGTAGAATTTGAGAATGGGCCATCTGCAGTATTGTATCCTAAATTGAAAACTTAGTATTTGACTGTTTCAAGTGGCTAGGTGATATCTGTCACAGTTGATGCCGTTCTCCCCTAACCTTCTATAATAAACACACAGAAATGTATTTCCTGCTACTCTAGTCTGCCCTCACTCCTGCTCTGCTCTCCTGCCCCTCCCCACTAGCTTTTATAGAAATGCCTCTAAAACAGGAGCATTTTTATACCTCAGGACATTTGCACTACCTGTTTTGTCTATCTGAGATGTTCTTTCTCAAAAATATGCAAAGCTATCTCCCTCATTTCCTTTAAATCTGTATTCAAAGAACAGATTCTCATTTCCTGATCATCAGATTTGAAACTACAGGCACCCCTCCTCGCAAAATATATAAACATTTTCCTTCTTTTTTTTCCCCCTACAACACTTAATACTGTCAAACATTGTACATTTAGCCTATTTATTTTTCTATTTACTTATTCCCTTTGTTAGAAGATAAGCCTCTGGTGGAAGGATTTTCGCATGTGCCAGTAGCATCTTTACCCCAAGAACTAGGGCAGAGTCTAGTACAAAGTGGATGTACCACAAACATTTGCTGAATATGAGAAAATCTCCATCCTGAAACCGCCAGAATAAATTAATGATAGAGTGATGACATTTATTTTCCTTCACTTTGAATTTACTTGGATGAATACTAGTGTCATTTCTTTAGTATTAACAGGGATTTCAGAACAAAGAATCCAGATGGTCAGATATAATAATGAAAGGCATATAGAAATGTGTTTTGAATTTGTGCCAATTTGGCAGCAACATCTGAGCAGCTCCCTCAGTCTGAATCTTTGCAGATTCTCTATGTTACCTCCCTAAGTAGTCTGTGGCTGCTCCTTAAGAAAAAAAAAAATGAAAAAGCAGTTCTCAAAATTTTAAATATTGTGTGGTGTGTATGTCTCTGAGCTTATAGCCAGTTTGATTTTTGAACACTCATTCACTTAAGTCCAGCCCATCGTTTTACATTAGTGTTTCCCATTGATGTGCATATAAGTGATCTCATTCTATTTAAAGGTCACAGTGTTCAAAAACCAATTCTAATGCTCCTCCACGACAGCAGTAGAAAACAAGATACTTAAATTCGGCGATATTCTACTGAATCATGAAATAAGGAAAACATATAGGTGGAGGACGTATCCACTTACAAAAATATCTGATATGCTGGACAACATAGAATTTTTAAAAGAGATTTGAAAATCTTTTACCATACAAGAAAAGAAGGAGATGGGTTAACCAGAAAAGGTGTTGAAGAATAATTCCTCTATGAATTGGAAACTCTGAAATAGCTAATTTTTGGCTGTAAAGAAGTGTGAGTTTTACAACTTTGTAAGCTGTGTGCAATGACCGAAATGTAAAGGAGGGGAGTTTTGCTCCCACCAACACTGTGAAGAAGTTTGAAAGAGAAGTTTACATCGTCAGTAAAACCTAATAGGATGATATCTTAGAAAACTTTCTAAGATATGATACCATAGAAAACTTCATTCTTATTTTGATAATAAGGTTTTATTTTTAAAGTAAAATATCTGTTTATAAATGCTCATGTTCTAAAAGCCGTGATTAGTCAATGTTGCCTGATATAGAACAATAGTTGCAAAATGTCTAAAACACAAAAACTGCAGGCTTGATTCAGGAAGATGCAGTGAATTTTCTGGTTTTCTGGACTAATGAAGAGGAAGGAAAATTAAGATAATAAAAAATCCATTAAACCTCAAACCAGGACTTCCTTTTATTATTTTATTATTTCATTTATTTTACATGTTGTGTGCCCAAGGGCATGTTAAGTGCTTTATATTGATTTATTATTACATTTAGATGACAATCCTGAATGGTTGATCTTATATATCATTTTATATGGAAAAAATTAAGGCTCTGAGCTGTCAGAGAATAAAACTAAACTGCTTTTTGCTTACTGAGCAAGGCAGAGCTGCAGCATTTAATTTTAGAAAGTTTTCCTGAGAAATGAAAAAGAAGGACCAAGGAGTAATGCATTCCTTATTAACAGGGATGCTATACATTTATTCATTTTTTTCTTTTTGGTTGTTTATTTTTCTGGTTTTCATCATTAAATTATAGATGCTAATTTCAAAGAGGTTCTATTTAGGCTATGTACTGCTCTATAAAGAGCACACACTTGGGATGTGGCAGATTTTTTCTTTAAAAGAGCAGACCATTTCCTTGCCCCAAATCACTCAGGTGGCAAGCGGAGATATTGGAATATGACACAAAAGTATTTTATTCTCAAGTCTGTTTTGTTTTTGTTTGTTGGTTTGTTGTTATTGTTTTCCTTTGTTCTCATTTGAAACTCTTGCCTTGAAATAGTTCTGTTGTAAAATATAATCATATCCCAACAGACGATCCAGAGAAAAACTGTCAACAATTCTAGTCCTTTGTTCATATTTTGTCACCAGCTTTCTAAAACAAGTAATCACAATAACCAGAAAGGTTGAACCATGGAATAACTTGTTAAATGCATATAAAAACATCTGAGGTAATGCGGTTTTGAGACTTATTCTTCAAAAATTGTTTGAAATTTCTAACAGACCACTACCTTTCTAAAGAGGTAGTTATTGTTATTCTTACTTATAGATGGAAAAATTAAGGCACAGAGAGATTAATAAATTGCCCACCTTGACACAGCTAGAAGGTGTTGGATCTGAGTGCAGATTCAAGTAGTCTGACTTCAAAACTATGTTCTTGTCAGCTGTTATGTTGGCAAACACAGTGCTGACCCCGAAAGGCTTAGGGCTAAGGAGCAAGAGTGAATACAAATAACCATGCTTCTAACCACAATGCCTCTGAATATGTTTGTTACACAAAGTTTCCATATATGTGTAATAAAATTAACTCCAGGTGTCCCATGAGGCTTCACACATTTGAGGATTGTCTATCGGAGTTGGTTACTAATCCTACTGAGTGTGGATTACTTCTCTCGAGATAGGCCATGGGGTTATGGGTTATAGGTTTTAAGGAACCCTAGTAGCAAGAGTAGGTGTTTCTGCTCAAGAAAACGCATTTGGATATTATGGTCAGGCTTTTGGCCTTATCTGCATTTTTTGGAACCTCAGTTTCATTCGTGGTAGCAAATTGCTTTTCAGAAGTACTTCTGCTACCTGAGGCTATTCTTTCTATTTTTATATTATTCATGGTTTTTAATTATGTGGTTCACTCTACTAGTAGAATTTATTATATTTTGTGGTGGTGGTGATTTCTTATATATGGAAGAAAATAAAGTCTTTTTACTGCTACCAGTGTAAATGTCTGAAATCTAGTTAGCAAGATTAAACTAACTAAAAATGTCAGAATAAGGGGTAGGCAGAGTTTTGCAACCATTAATAAACAAAGTGAAGTTTTTTTGTTTTTGTTTTTGTTTTGGTTTGGTTTTGGCTTTGGTTTGGCTTTTTATTGTCTTGAGATTCGATTAGGTGCAGAAGCATACATATACATGTTCTTAATTGGCATATGATCTCATCTACAAAAATGTACTTTCTCTAGTGATATCCCTGTATGTCATATTCCATTTTAGGTTTATTCAAAATAATATTATAATAAAATTGGTCATTCTGTACCATCTTACCCCAATATAATTACATGGAACAAATACTTTTTCTATCCAAAATAGCAGTTTAAGGAATTCATTTTATTCTCATCTGCCAGAAGTTTGATCAAAATTAAGAACATCAGTCTGCCAAATTTCATTTTTGTCCTATTTTTAGTTTCATCTCAGTTACACTGAACTGGGTAGAAAAAAAAAATGCCCTACACGTGCTTCCTTTGAGGCCCATTGACCTTGCACTCTCTTGATCTGGACAGGTGCGGCTTTATTCCAGATTCTTCTCTGTAAGTCTCCTTGTCCTTTCAAATGGCCTCCTGGATGGGACCCAACACAACCCCACTGGCCTCTTCCATAAGGTCCATATTGATTTCCCAGGAAACATTTATGCGTCACTGTCCCTGCAGTCAGGAGGGTGTTGGCCAAGCCCAGTACAGTACCATTTACTTGACTTTGTCCCAAAGCACCTACACCCTTGTCCTCAATTTTCAGGCAAGAGTCAGATCCTGGTCCACTGTCCTCTGCTCAGAGAAAGCAAGCTCTCCAGGTGGCTCCTGTGAAATTCCCTACTGAACTAGAGGATAGAAGGTGGTTCTCATCACCATTTCCCCGAGTGGACATGGAGAGTCTCAATGTAGCGATGGTTCTCTTCACATAAATGTCTGTTTTGTTTTTTTTTTAAAGATTTTATTTATTTATTTGAGAGAGGGAGAATGAGAGAGAGAGAAAGCACATGAGATGGGGGGAGGGTCAGAGGGAGAAGCAGACTCCCTGCTGAGCAGGGAGCCCTATGCGGGACTCGATCCAGGGACTCCAGGATCATGACCTGAGCCGAAGGCAGTCGCTCAACCAACTGAGCCACCCAGGTGCCCCTAAATGTCTGGTGTTTTGCTTGTATGTTTTTTATAGACCTGCAGTGAGTATGAGTGGGCAAGGATATTGAAATAGGTTTCTTTGAAAGTTTGCATGGGAAGTTTTGGAATTTCATATCAATTGATGTTGGTGTTTTGGTGAAACTTTTACATTAACCCCTTTCTCCAGTTGTCGAGAACAAGATTCACCATTAGAGACAAGGAAAGGAGAAAAGAGAAATTCTTTTATTTCAGAGTATTCATGCTGTGTTCATTTGTGTATTAGCACGTTCACGTTAGTTGCCTGATTTAGTTATAATAGTAACTCTGCAGGATTGGGAATATTACTCCCAATTTACAGAGGAAGAAACTAAGTTTCAAAGAGTAGATTTTTTAAGGGGATACAGATAGTGGGGAGATAGAAATGTCTGACTGGAAAGCTTCTGCCTTTCTTGTTGCCCTGCCACAGGTGAGATTTATATATATCTAAGCACCGCTGTTAGCCTAGGACTGCTCCATGTATTTCTCAAATAGTTACCGTCCTTTTGTGGACTTGGGTATAGAAATGTTTGAGGTCATTTCTACAACTGTTGATTTTGAACTTAGAACATGATCTTAACATTGGCTGAGTTTTAAAATAAATGTTTAATTTTTTTTCCAGACAATAGATTTTGAAGGTTTTAAGCTATTTATGAAGACATTCCTAGAGGCAGAGCTTCCTGATGATTTCACAGCACACCTTTTCATGTCATTTAGCAACAAATTTCCTCATTCTAGTCCAATGGTAAAAAGTAAGCCTGCTCTCCTTTCAGGAGGTAAGTCTAATTATATACTTTAAAAATGTATATGTAGTAAAATCCTTGAAGGGAAAATCAGTATCAAGTTCTCTATAAGAGAAGAGATGATTTGCTTAGGAAATATCTTTCTTTCAGGATTTATACTGATAGTGCAAAATATTTAAAGTGTCTCCAATATAGTAATAGCTAAACACTAGAGAAAATATACTTTATCATTATCCATCACTTGTCATTCAAAGTCTTAGAAGTCTATGTTTAGGTAAAAATTTTAAGAAAAACTTCTGTCAAAACTGGAAAAGTGCTCTTTGAAATGACTAGTTAAATATAGGTAACTTTATATATGAAAATGTAGTCGCAAAGCAGTTCTGTGTAGGAAACATAATATTTATATCACTTCTGTAAATTTCTAACATACTTTCATAGAAGAGTTTTGATTTTTCTCTTAGACACTTATTCTTTTTAAATTTAATATCACCATGGAGATGATTGGTTCTGTCATTATGGGTAGCTTTTCAGAGATGTCTAATGAATTAATACCTGTTGCTAATTGTGTCCAGCTCCATCCAGTCAGGAGAACAAATATCTCACTGTATTACTCTACTGAATGTAAAATAGGTGATTTGTTAAACAGGGTTGGAGGGTTGAAAAACCAAAGAGGAATACTAAGGTAATGCAGAGGTAGAACCACAGGAAGCATGTGCCACTCCTAGGTTGGAGTAATCAAAACTCAGAATCTTGGAAGAAGGACTTCTTTGAACTGGGATGTAGGATTCTGCGGGGAAGGTGTTGCCTGGCAGAACTCGCCCTGGGACTTCTGTGGAGGGTATGACTTCCTTCTGGGTTTGGTAGCTCAGGAGCTCAAGAGGGGAGTCAGACATCTTAGGAGTATCACCATGGTCTGTGCAGGATTGTGTAGCCAGGCTCATTGTGCCTTTCTCAATGTGGAAATGAGCTGGAGACTAGAGCCTGTTGCTCCTTATTTTGTTTGTTCTTACAGTGTGGAGCTTACCAGTGTTCTGGGCTGAACATTTTAAAATGGGACAATTCCTTACTTTGATCTAGAAATTAAAACTTCCTTGTTCTCCCATTTCATGCTATAAATGGATTGCACATACCATAGACTGAATAAAATAATAAAATTGTCTCTTTCATTTTATATGAAACAAAACTATTCTTGTGTATGGAGAAAGAAGGGGGGTACTTTTTGAGATGTTGTGTGTCTGAGTAATTGTGTCAGACTTGGAGAGAAGAGAGGAGAGATTCTAATTAATTAGGTAGGTTTGTAAGAAATTAAAATCTCAAACCTTCTTGTCTCCAAATAGCATGTAGTAAGTATTACATATAAGATGCCAAATTTACAAGGAGTAGAAATCAAATCAGGTTCCAAAATGGAAAAAAAAAAATTAAAGGGTAACAGCTTGTACTTCTTTTGGGACAGCCACATATTCTGCGCAGATCTACTTGTAAGGAGTTGCAAGATGGGCTGTGTAGCTCTCATACAGCAAAAAATAAATCAAACTGGAATTCCTTTTCAAAACTTGGTCTCCACATTTTAAAACATTAGTGCATGGGGTCCTTTGTAGGACTGTTTTCAACCCCATATTCTTTCAGACTTACCTTTGATAGTAAAAAATACATGTATTTTTATTTTTAGAACCCTGCTTTGCCATAATCGAAGTTATCTACATAAGATATATTTGGGTTGAAAAAAATCACAAATAAATTTTGAATAGAAAAGAGCTATAATCTGTTTTGTTTACCACCCCTCCACCCCACCCCACCCTGAGGAGAGTTCACTATATTTCATTACTACAGTACCAACAAGGGTGTGATAACCATTCTTGACGCTGTATCAACTGAAAAATGGTTTCTCAATAAAAGCAAAACTAAATTGGGAAAAATGTTATTCTTGTTAGTGAACAGTATTCAAGTATTGGAGATATGGTAAATGTAAAACATTTAGTTTTTATAGAACAAAAATTTTATTTATTTATTTATTTATTTTTTAAGATTTTATTTATTTATTCATGAGAGACAGAGGGAGAGAGAGGGAGAGAGAGAGAGAGAGAAGTAGAGGGAGAAGCAGGCTCCCAAGGAGCAGGGAGCCCGATGCGGGACTTGATCCCAGGACCCCGGGATCATGACCTGAGCCGAAGGCAGACGCTTAACCATCTGAGCCACCCAGGCGCCCTAAAACAAAAATTTTAAATAGTTAGATGCATAAAAGTTGTGTGTGTGTGTGTGTGTAGTTGGTTTTTGTTGGAACTTGTAGTAGCTACTGATCCATCTGGTATTTTGTGTAGTGAATGATTTTTGGGGGGAATATTTTGTTGCAGTGTAAGTGCCTCTTATCACCTACTTAAAATGTTAGATGATTCTTTCTACTGTTCCCAAGTTGGGCTTTTAATTTTTGAAGATATCCCCTAATGCTTTATCTTTCCGGCTTTCTCATAACCTCTTCTGCTTCATTGTGAATGTCAGGTCCCTAATGCCTCACATGTTTGCCAGCCCAGTGACTAACTTCTGATTTTACCTTCATCCCCAGAATCTATCACCTGAACTATTCTCTTTACAGAATGGTTGAATCATTTGGAACCTTTGTTTTTTGGCAAGTGGCTCATATACCCTTGACCATGAATCAATATTATGAGTTCATATTTCGGGCCCTTCAACTTGAATACTGAGAATAACCAAAGGGAAATTTCATAAATATGCAGATTGTTGCCTCTGCAAATTCTTAACATCCAATTTTAACATGGCCTTAATACCACTTCAGCTTTTTAAAAAAATCTACCATAAAAAGTATTTATTCTTGATACTGTCTCCTAGCTCAGTTAGGCTAAAATTTTCAAACTTCCTTTAGTTTATTCAAATCTTTCCCCTCATTCTCAATAGGTTAATTATTTTTCATATCATACAAAAAATAGGCACTAACATAAAATACCTCAATTATTCCCCATACAACCCAGACATGTTTCTTCAGCTCACAGAGAATATGTATTAACTATATTCCAGATGGAGCTCTTCCTTGGATGTTCCATAAGGAATCGAACTAAATGTGTTTGAAAGTCAAATAATGCTATTCTGCCCACACCTGCTTCTTTCTCTCTTGTCTCTTGGTGAATGGAACCCAAGTATCTATCACTTTAACAATCCTAAAATCTTGGACTCTTCCACCCTGCACCGCCTCATGCCTCATGTTTAGTTAATCACAAAATGCTCTCTATTGCTCATTATAACTTCTCAAACATTCTGCCAGTGTGGGTATGATCCATCATTGTTTGTGTTAGAGAGTAGCCATTAGCATGGCTCCCAGCTGGGCCCTGACGTCCCATCTCCACGATATGCTTTCTAACACTGAAGCCTGATTAGATTCGTCTTGGGTTTCCAAGTTTCAGGCCTTCACTATCACCTTATGGAAAGTTTTTTAAATTTTTTATTTTTCATGTAAACTTAAATCCTTGATAGTTAAAGTGGATTAAAGCAGCGTTGCTTTGGTGAAGGGAGGGGGGTGCAGGAGAGATGTAAGTACAGGAAGTCCCAGCCACTGGCCTTCCCACACCTTTTGAGACTCCCCCCCCCCCCCCCCCAAGATGGCTTTAATGCCACTCCAAGGCCTGGGCATTGCAGTTAAGAAAATGATAAAATCTGATTTTCATAGTAGTGAGCACAATGCCATGTAGCTTGTTGACCTGCCTACAGTCCCAATTCTCTCTCTCTTGACCCATGCAACAGACCCTTTACATACCAAAGGGTTTGCTGTGACTTAAGTCTGCTGTGGTCTCTTATCTCACAACAAAACCCAACTCCTTCAAGTCTCAGCGAATGTGTCACTCTAGTTGAATAGCACCTGCTGGGATGGGACACCTGGAGTGTGCCACTGGGAAGCAACGCTGGCAACATGTAAAAGTCACACCTTCTTCTTCTTGTACAAGAACTGGTGTGTCCCTCTCCTCCCTAACTCCCACCTAGACCAGCTCTGCACGGCAGCTCTGGGAATGAACCACCTTCAGCTCAATGATCACTGGTCTTGTATAGGGTAGCGGTTAATGGTACTTATTAGTAACTTCTACTTTCTCTAAGAATGTAGTAATTAAAAGAGAATGGAATTGATTTGTTAACTGGTTCAAACACTTATACTGTATATTTCTGTTTGGCTCCACAATGTCTAAAATGTTGACTCTATAACAGTAAATGTCTGTTATTAGCTATAGGTTAGGGCAAGTGTTTTTTGTTGTTATTATTAGTTTTATAGGGCAGAAAAAAAGAAGATTTCCTAGCACCCTTTATATCAGGTCATGTAGTGACTTGTCCAGTTGTAATTCTTAATTATTTATTTTATTAATTCATTAATTCATGCAGTCCACTGTTCTTTTTTTTTTTAGAGGCGTGGGGGAGGAGCAGAGGGAGAGGGGGAGAGAGAGAGAAAGGGACGTGGGGCTCAATCTCACAACCCTGAGATCATGACATGAGCCGAAATCAAGAGTCAGACATTTAACTGACTGATCTACCCAGGTGCCCCTCCACCATTCTTTTTTTAAAAATAACTTATGTGCCAGAAATTGCACCAGAAAACTGAGGATCCTTTAGAGCCACACAGAAAAAGATAGTCAATTAGGTGATCAGTCATATTACAATAAAATAAAAGTTGTCATCTATTTATCAAGATCATCTGAGATTTTAATCATAAATTGAAATTATGTAGTTTAAGTAGAGGTAGGGACAGGTACTTGTAGGAGAGCATGGAAGGGAGTTTCAAGAAGAGAAAACATGTACATTTCAACTCCAAATTAAAAAAATAAATGCCCCATGAAAGTATAGTGTGTGAACTGTAAGAAACTCCTTATTATTTCATTCATAAATATTTATTTATTTTTAAATTTTTAAATAAATTTTAAATCCAGCATAGTTTACATACAGTGTTATATTAGTTTCAGGTGTATAATACAGTGATTCAACAATTCTGTGTATTACTCAGTGCTCATCATGACAAGTGCACTCCTTAATCCCCATTTATT